TAAGAAGTTGCAAGTGTTGCTGGTTCAGGTGCTCTGCATGTGTTGGGTCAGTAAAGATACGCTGTTCCTCAGCCTTGGTCAACACAGCAAGGTCTGGTACCATAGACACAGAGTAAGGGGTGGGAAGAGCACGGGGGTTGAGTCGACTCATGGTTCAGAAGGTGAGGGTCGCAGGAGGTGGTGGGGGATGCAGCAAGAAGAAATACAGAAAAATGAGCTCAGGCTATAATTGGTCTCAACAAGACCAATGAGAGGTTCACCAGAAGAAGTTAGACTTCAGTCAGTCTTTTCAGGCAGTTTTATCGACATTAACCATATGAGAACTGATTGCACAAACAAGAAGCTGATTAACTTGACCAGCTGTTGCTATCTTAAATCTTTCCCCTGATTTTTGAGGGAAAAACAGGGTTAATATATATATGCAGCATAACCTTTTTTTTTTTTTTCTTCCTCTGAGGAAACTCACAGGGAATTTCAGTGCTTGCAGCCTGCATGTGTACAGTTGTGCAGTACACTTTGCAGTCAGATTAGCAGTACTCCAGATTCATTTGTACCATGTCCACATCTGGTAGTCATGGTGACCTCACCCTTCATCCAAGTTACAAATACAGCAGCTTTTGAGATTAAGCCATCTGGGACAATTTCAGAAGTCCAATCTTTTGCTAAACAATTTGAAGTGGTTTATTCCTAAATACTAACTCAAATGTTTACTTCCTACATAAAAACTACTAACAGTACGGCTGCTAAGCACAACTGGGATACATGAGGCTTTAATTGCAGAGTATGACTCAACAGGAGAGCGTGGGGAGTCAGGGTGGAGGCTGAAGGAAGGACTGGATAATGATAGGATGCAAAAGTTTATGTGTGCAAGAGAGGAAACCTGGGACTTTGGGGAGTTTCCAGTTATGGTCCAGGTTGAAATGCAGAAGATCTGTTGAGTCATGTAACCCAGAGCCAGATTTTCACTCTCAGTGAAATAACCTTGGTGTCCTATATGGAAATATAGATGGATTCATTATAGATGCCCCCAGGGATGTGGTAGGTGTGTGTGGTTCTGGCATGTGCAGCCAAGGATCAGGAAGGGTGATGATGCTAAGCTGCTGATGTCTGGGGAGCGCAGTACAGGGTGGGGTGCCCAGTGAGCCTTTTGATCAGTGCATGGCACTTGGCAATCCTGATGCTCACTCTTGCCAAGGGCTGGATTTGCAAAGAGATTCTGTAACATGCAATCATTCCTTCAGGGTGTATGATTGAAGTTCATGGTAGTTACCTGTAAAATCTGCTAAATCCAAACACTGTCTTCTCCCCTATTCCTCCCCAACACCCTCCATCCCACACACGTGCACACACTACATTACAGGTACATTAGTATGCCTGCTTAAAACTTTGCTGTGTATCAGTGATTCTATTCGAAATGCAGTGAGTAACCAATTATAGCATGTAACAGCACCGTTCATTTGCCCAACTCTTTGTTTGATCCAAAGGTTAAAACATTTGAAACAGATTCAAGAAAACAGAGTGCTTACTGGCTGAGGCAATTGGATTCCTCTGGAACAGTATGAAACAAGGCTTAACAACAAACTGCTGAGTGGTACCACCATGTCAATGTGACACTTTCTTCTCAACTTCTGGCAAAGGAGCAATTGCCCCAAAGAACTCATTGCATTATTCTTGGGGATGAGATTCAAATGATTTTGATGCTATGTCTGTGCCTTCACTGATGCTATTAATTGGCTTCGAGACACATCCCCATTTTGTCATTTCTAAAGGTGAAGGCTGTTCTGTGTTTTGTTAATGATGACAGCATTGCTGAGAAAAAGGAAGGTCTAAAATATTTAACTTTAAGAACATGACAGATTAAATAACCTGTGGGGTCCTAATAATCATCAATCACAATGTAGGAGATGACAAGGTGAAATTTCTAAGATGACATTTTGTCACTTGGGGTAGTCACTTAAACTGACAAAAGCTATACATTCTGCTCTGCAGCTTCTTTACTCTAATTGGGCCAATTTTACTATCATGCTATTATCCTTCACAGCAGAACTGGTGACAAACAAAGAGACTTTTGTGATCTCAGTTGAATATTTTTCCATGAGCTCAAGAAAATATCTTATTTGCCGAAAGAGAATGAAAATTGTCCCTGTATTTTGTGACTGGCCAGAAGCCCAAGGGTCACATCTGTCTGCAAAAGTCTAATCTGTATTTTTACTTTCCGCTAGCTTATTGTGGGATCTCGCAGAAAGGGCCATGAGTCAGGGGAACTATATTTGCATTTGGTATTTTTCCTGTTATATGCTTAAATAACTTTCCTCAGGATATGGCAGAGAAAAAAGAGGGCTAAACTTCCATTCCCTCACTTTTCACAATTTCAGCAGTCTGCTTGAATTTAGCCTTATTTTCTACTATGCACCAGCACATATTAATTCCCTTTAAGCATATAACAACACAAAACTTGCTTGTGTTAGCACATGCTTCAGTGTAGTTATTGGGAATCTTAATCCATTTTAGAAACATTGGAAGAAAATTTATCATCAACAGCTACATGAAGAGTAGTAAGGAAGTAGTTCTATAAGCTCTTAAGGTAGTGTGAAATCCTGAAACAACCCATGTCATTAAAACTAAAAACATCTTATGTATTACCATTCAGAAACACTGGACAAAAATATTTTTAGTAACACACATTTATTAACCTGGAATAAAATTACACCAAAAATTGTAAGTCAGACTACAAAAAATGTTATGGTGGTGTCTCTTTGACTGAAGTTACATCTGTTTTCCCAGACTTTCACTCTTATCTTTTACTCCATCTAAGTATATTGGAATTCATGGAATCATAGAACAGTTTGGGTTGGAAGGGACCTTTAAAGGTCATCTAGTTCTAACCCCCCTGAAACGAGCAGGGACACCTTCAACTAGATCATGTTGCTCAAAACTCCATCCAATCTGACCTTGAATGTTTCCAGGGATGAGGCATCTGCCACCTCTCTGGGCAACTTGTTCCAGTGTTTCACCACACTCATTATAAAAAATTTATTCCATATATCTAGTATAAATCTACCCTTTTTTAGTTTAAAAACTTTACCCCCTGTCCTATTGCAACAGGCCCTACTAAAGTCTATCCCCATCTTTATATAAGCCCCCTCTAAGTACTGAACTGCCACAATATGGTCTCCCCAGTGCCTTTCTTTCTCCAGGCTAAAAAACCCCAACTCTCTCAGCCTTTCCTCATAGGAGAGGTGTTCCAGCCCTCTGACCATTTTTGTGGCCTTCCTCTGGACCTGTCTTTCCTGTGCCGAGGACTCCTGACCTGGATGTAGTACTCCAGTCGGGGTCTCACCAGAGTGGAGTAGAGAGGGAGAATCACCACCCTCAACCTGCTGGCCACTGTTCTTTTGATGCAGCTCAGGAGGCAATTGGCTTTTTGGACTGCAAGCACACATTGCTGCTCATGTCCAGCTCTTCAATCCCCAGTATCCCCAAATCCTTCTCTGCAGGGCTGCTCTCAATCCCTTCATCCCACAGTCTGTGTTTATAGCACCAACCTTAGTGCAAGACCTTTCACTTGGCCTTGTTGAACCTCGTGGGGTTCACATGGCCCACTTCTCGAGCTTTTCCAAGTCCCTCTGGATAGCATCCTGTGCCTCAAATGCGTCAGCTGCACCACTCAGCTTGGTGTCATCCTCAAACTTGCTGAGGGTGCACTTGATACCACTGTCATTGATGAAGATATTAAACTGTACTGGTCCCAATACAGACTCCTGAGGGATACCACTCATCACTGATCTCCACCTGGACAGTGAACCAGGTTACCAATTACCAGCTCTTGACTTAAGTGGAAGTTGTTTTGTTAGCTAAGAGCTCTCACATCTCATTTCCAGGTACCCTGCTGTTATTTCTGCCTTCTTGAACTTCCAGGTCAAGTCTGCCTCTTCTTAGTTACATTAATGCTGCTTTCTACACGAAGTATGTTCATCTCCAATCTCTGCAGCTACATGGTGCTCACATAGCCCTAGCTGAACCAAGTGCATATTATACCTCCAACCCATCTGAGCCACTAATGCTGCTCCTCAGGGCATGACTTCTGCTATATCACCAGTGCAGAACTTCACCACTCCATAGCCATCTTCAAACCCATCAGCTCATTTCTTGCTATGTCCAGACCAACAGCCACAGTTCTCATTCTTGTCCCTGCCTTAAATTCTGCCACCCCCAAATCCTGGACCCCTGTCTCCCAGCCCATTAAGCCTTCTCTCTGCTTTTTCTCATCAGTCCTGTCTGTATCTCACTTCTATTTGTAAACCCCCCTTTATCTACCTAGTGTGGCTTCGTTTATCTTTGTTGCAAGGCTCCTTACCTCTCCCTGAGATAGGCTGAAAGCCTCAGCAGATTTATCTCTTCCTCTTAGGCTGGCATCCTTTCATTCTCTCTCAGGAGCAGCTTGCTTTCCTCCCAGCCTCATGCCTTGTCCTGGGCTTCTTACTGAAAAACCACAATAAACTATTGAAACCTGATAGGAAGGATGCCATCCTTATCAGATAAACTCAGGTCTCAGCTGAAAAATCCCTGTTATTTGTAATAAATTTTTGACTTGGAAAATGCCACTTACTGCAAAAGAAGTGCATCAACAACATTCAGACTTTTTAATGGTAAATTAAATTAAAATCCCAACATGTAGCTAGTAACAAGAATGGGATGTGAAAGAAAGCCTAAAGCAGGGCACAAAAAAATTTAAGCTCATTAAGGAGCTACAAGAAACTTTTAATTCTGAAGTTGGAATAATTTTCATAATCACAGATACACTATGGATCAGCACTGAAGGCTGATAATGAGGACATATACTTTGCTAGCACAAGACTTCAAAATGTATGGTTAAGAAATTAAAAGTATTATGAAGGAGTCTGCATCTAGTAGCATACATTCCAGCAGAAAATTCTTCCAGGTGATAACAGGACTTTAAAAAAGATCTTAAATGGGACTGACACAATGCAATATAGTAATTATTTGGCAGTGCATAATATCTTTATTTAGAACAATAAAGTATATGTATATAATGTAAATTCCAAATTTGAACTGGTATAAAAAAGGATCTGGGAAAACATCTATCTTTAAGAGGACACATATATACATACACATCACATTTTATAAACTTTGTTGATTACCTTCAGTCAGAATGCAACTATGCAAGACTGTGCTGACATTACACTGAAATAAATGAATTTGCCCATGATACAACCAGCAAACGTCTGTGTCTCTATCACTAAAGAGTCTGAAGCTTCCGCGTTCCATCAATTTGATAACATAATAGCAACATGCCACCATTACTGCAGATCTGCATTTAATAGACAGTTGAATCAGATTCCTGAATTGAAGAATGTTGGATAATTCTTAAATGTAAATCTAACTCAAAATATCTGTATTTTATATTTACAGTTAGCTTTTTAATTTAATAGTTGTATTGTGTGTACTGAACAGTTTCAGCATATTACAAAGAGAGAGCAACAGAGAAAACAGAGCTGGTGAAGACCAGAATCTAAAAAATGTGCAGGTTGTATACATACTCCACAGTATAGCACATTTTATAAGCTTACTTATAAAATGACCTTGTGAAGAAACAAGTACCATTAATTTATTCAAGTAAACACACATCTAAAGTAGCACACTGAGTTACTCAGTATATCACAATCTGCTTTTTATTGTCACAAGGCCATTAGAATTGCATGCAAAGTTCAACTACACCAAAGGAAACCTAAAAATGTTAGTTTCTCACAAAACCACAGATATCTGGAAAACAAATTTTGTTGACTTTTGTATAAAAAATACAATACTTGCTTTTCCCCAATTTCATTTTAAGAGAAAAGGTGTTTACTTTCTAACTGTGTTAATGCATGGGTTCTGTCTACGCAAAAAGAAGACTAAAGAACTTATCACACTTCAGAAATTAAGCAGCTTACAACTGGATAAAGAAGAAATTAAAGGACTATTTCTGCCATTCCTATTCCCATTGAACAGTAACTTATTCTATTTACACTAATTTCAAAGATGTCTCACAAGTCAGTAGTCTTTCAGAATTTCACTACATCCCAAGTAAGGGCCTCCTCAGTGGGCACAGAAACTTTCAAATATCATGATCACATTTCTAAGTGCTATGCCACCCACTGAATCCACGAATGTCTAGAAGTGTCCTGCTTTGCAAAATGATTTCAAATACCCAATGTTTTGTTCAGATCTCTCAAAAGGAGGGTACAGAGAACAGGAAAACCATGAGCTCCAACAACAGTTCTGCTACTCCATGTGTCATACAACTTTGGTGCATATTCAAAGAACAGTGTTTGTGATGTGAAGTTGGAAGGTTTATACATAAATTTTCTTTCTGTTCTCATCTAGCCTTAAATTTGCCTTGCTCCATGGAAGAGACTGAAGTATCTGACATCATTTGAAAGTAACTTAGCTACTATTTTAAGATGTTATTCTTGGAAGGTGAACATTTTACAGCAGTCTATCTGGGTTTAATATATATTTGAATTTACAACTGATATTTTCTGAAGTATTAAACAGTAGACTAAGAACCCTAAAACTTTGTGTATTTTGAATATTGACATATAATTTGGGGCATACCAATGTGCAACATCATTGTGTATTTGATCTTCTGAACAGAAGGCATTTAGAAAAACTAAACATTCTTATAAACAAAGAACATTAATAAATACAAGACTTTTGTTTAACTGAATCTAAGAAAAATACTGTAAAACTTCAAGCATAAGCTTGCTTTGAGAACGAATTGTATAATAACATGAAGTATTTAAGGTTTTTGTAAAATGCGTAAGAATAATTGCTTCCATTTGCTGTAGATATTTTTCGCTCTGTCAAAACCAATATGCAGTTATTCTCCCATGTGTAAACTTCCCATCAATTAGGTCACGCTGACATTTGTTTCAAGGTAACTCTTAAACAGGTTTGAAATACAAAGTCAGAGGGCCTTGTGAGTAAAGAACTACACAATGTCAAATGAGATTGAGTTGGAGGTGGAGAATTCCATTGTTTGATTTTTGTAAAGCTAAAATTTGGAAAGCACTTGCTTTTTAGAAGTGATGAGCAACTTTGATTATTTCTTATTAAGTGGTGAGTGTTCCAGAATCATCTAAGTAAAACTAAAGGCCTAATTCTTACACTAAGCTTCTTTTGATCTAGTCTAAGAGAAGCTCCTCAGGTGATGGAAACCCCCAAAGCTCTGTTAACATTAATGGAACTATGTTAATTTATACTAGCTGACCAGGACTTGAGGAGCCTTTTCTGACACCCAGGAAGTGCAAAAAGGTCTCAATATAAATAAAAAATAGTTTCACATGATCAAATCCTTGTATCAGTGGATTCACAATAAGTTTTGACATTGATCCCAGAAGGGCCATGAGCTGTGTCATCAAACATTTTGAAATTTTATCTTTTTGGTAATCATGAAGGACAAATCAATTTTACCAATAATACACACACACACATGCACACACACACATGTATATATTATATGTATGTCATATTCTTTTTATGCATGGTTCTCAGAAAATTCATCAGGTTATTAAAATTTCCACAAGTATTCTTAAAAAAATTAAGTAACTATATACTTTAAAGAGAACAACTTTATGCAAAACATTAAAAGGGTGGTGGGTTTTTTTTCTAAGTTTTCAAGTTAGTTAAACTAAAACTCTTGCTGACCTGGACAGCTTAATGACAGATAACAGTGTGTCATCCAAAGTGAGCCACCTTTACCTTGTGAAGTACAACCCCCTAATAGAGGTAAATCATTCATATCCGTTATCTGTAAAGAGCCAAAATGGAAAGATGCATCACTATATTTGTATCTTTTACCATGGTATTTTTAGAATTTACTTGAAAACACGTCTGTACATCAGTCCTGTACAGATTTCATGGATGCTATAACAACAAAAGATGCAAAAGACAAGTGGGAAACAAAGCCTTTCTTTTTTTTTTTTTTTTTTTTTTTTTTTTTTTCCTCAGAGAATTAACTTTAAGAGTGAAGAATGCCAGGATATTAAAGCCTACTAATCACTTAAAACACAATGCAAACATTAATTACAGCTGACATAAGTAAAAGCTAAATACACTCTCTGGATCTTTCAAATTTTCTATGCTATACACTTATAGACAACGTATCAATGGCATGCATCCTTGGCATTTAAAATGCATTTCATGGGTTTGTCTTTATTCTGATGTTTGAACGCTATTCAGACTCTTTATTTTCCCTTCCCTTGGCATGGCTGGAAATTTCACCAGTGTTCACATACCCAGCAGTTACTCTTAATGCTGTGAAGCTCCATGAGGTACAGTCACCTCCTGTTTACTTTGTCCCCATCCAGTAATTGCTTCTCCTGAACAGAGACCATCAGCGTTGATGAATTCTTGAGGCTTTCTGGGGTGAGCAACCAGCCACCTGGCACCTGACAGAGACCACATGTTGATGTACACATGATCTTTGCCAGGCATAAACACAGCTCCTTATAAGTAAGAGGCTAGAACATGGGTCCATGGCATGACTTGGCTTTCAAGTCTTATATACAATGTTGAAGAGTATGTTATCTGTATCCATGTCTGCATTTTCTGTCAGTTCAGAGGACTCTATCTGAAGACATCAAGGTAAGGTAGAGGACACAGAACTTAAATTAAGGATGCAAAGGTATTTATGACTTTCAATGATTACACATAGTTGGAGGCATTTGAAAGATGCTTTTTGTTCGGGACATGTACGTTGTTTGACAGAGTCAGCTGCAAGTCATAATGCAATTAAAAATCCCCAAATGCCACACAAGGTAGATATTCACATAAGATACCATCCTGCTAAGTGCACACTCTTCTTGTAGATGTTCAATTCAGTGTTGGTTTCACAGTAACAAACACAAATTGTCCTCATTCTGTATCATGTCTATGGAGTCATGGGCAGCAACAACAGATGCAGACTCAGTCTGTCACTCCAGAAGGAATACGAATGTGCTTTAAGCTGCTTCATTTATGAAGCGAACATGGAACTGTTACCTGCCTGGAGAGAAAACCAGAAATTATAATTTTGCTGGTTAGTTTTTCTTTCTGTATTGCTAAACAGTAGAGCTCTTCTCAAACATTTTTTCTTTCAGTTTTGAAAATAGATATATTCAATGCCACTTGCATACGCATTCCTTCATTCTGAAAGTAAAATTCTTGTTTGAAGATCTACTTTCCTAGTCCAACAACACACTTGCCTGCAAAATCTCATTGATGTTATCTAAGGTGATGAAACAACTCTCATGGTTTTACAGAACTGTGATGTTTGTGCATTTTGGTATCTGGCAATATCTGGCAGCATACTTCCCTTTGAAGTCATCTGGACAAGCCAATAACAACTGAGTTTACATCTTTGGAAAAATCAAATGACTTGCCGAACGCAGTGATGATTTGCCTTCTCAGTGAGCAGATGTTAGAACAAAGCAGTTGAGGAGACTGGAAATCTCTCAAGTTGTAGCTGACTTGATCACAATGAACACTCTGGAATATGCCTCAGAGTGGCATAGATGAACTGCAAAACCTGGATTGCCTGTTATACTCTTAACTGCTCATACCACTCACAATATAAAAATGAAGCATGCAGCACTGCCTGAATATTCCAGCTCCTTGCCAGAGATGCTGTGGGTTAAGTACAGCATAACTCCTGTGGCAAGAAGCCCCTTGCCAGAGATGTGCACCGTTCTGCAGAGGACATGTGGGACCTAGAAAGCTCACTCGCCTTTGCTGCTCACTCTTACATACTACAGCAAAAACGATGTATCTGATAAAGCTACAGAGAAATGCAAACTGTGCTGAGTAAGCAACAATTAATAGAAGCCCAGTTCTACTTGGTCTGTTCTCCTACACTCACCTGCTAGCTTAAGGACTGTGTTTTTTAGGTCATGCTGCTTTGGAACAGCTGTAGGAGAACAGCTGAAAACTTCTCCGTATTGGCTCTCCAAAAAGGAGAAGCAGTAGCTGTCCTTTATTTTGGAATTAATTTTGGAATATTTAATTTTGCAACATTCAGGCTAAAAGTCAATATTGATATATTAATGACACTGGATTAATTACATTAGCTGCTAAAGATCTTAGGTACAAATAAAGCTTACTAATAAGATTTTTTTTTTTCCCAAATTGGACTCTGAATCACTTAGTATTTCAGCAGCCAAAAGTTATTAAGCCTGTGGTAAGACTCTCAACCATAACAACTTACCAGTACACAAAACAGTAACAGTGTTGAGGGAGAAAAAGCAACAACTACACTTGTAGATGTTCCTTTTCTTTTTGCTGCAACATACTGAAAAAAAAAAAGGTACATTATTACTACAATGTTAGTCTTTCAAGAAAATAGAATGGAAGGATTTATCAGTTAGAATAAAAGGGAACACAAAGTATTAGAATTTATGTTTGTTGTTGGGTCTTCCTGGTTATAGATTAATATTACAAATTTCTCATGGAGGAGGGAGAAAAAGCCATAAACCATATATTTAGGAAGACATCAGATAAAGGAAGTAACCTGTTTAAACTTCCTGTTAAGGCTATCTCCTGCATTTAACTGTTTCCTCTTTTCTTCTTATAAAGCAATGTTTTAGATTTCCAGTAAAGTTAAAAGGAAGATGAAGGTTCCATTTCCCAAGTTTTAATACCTGTGAGGATAAGCTGCAGGATGAGTTATTTGTAGCTACTAATATACTTGGTGAATACAGAGTCTTCCATTCTATGTACTGTACATGAAGAACATACGTTTTAAGAACACATTATTCTCAAAAGTTTAAACACTGAAAATTTCAGCCCTTGTGACCAAACTGTTAGATCAGAACCTTGACTATTTCTGCCTTCAGCAGCGGGCAGCACCAGGCATTTCACACAGTGAGAGAAGCCTATAGGATAAGATGTGTCCTTCTGCCATCTGCATCAGATTTTTCCCTTAATCTCTTGTAGTTAAAATTTGACCAAACACCCTGAAACAGAAGGTTAAATAATACTCTCAGACCCCGTTAGCATGAACTATTCTAACTTAAAACATCCCTAAATTCTATTCTGAATTTCACAGACTTCTTTGCCCAAGTCATGTCCAAGCAACTTTGAATATCTTCAACTGTTATTTCTAAGGTATATTTTTGATTGACTAAGTTACACAGAACTTTTTCCACTTAAAAATTATATAAAGCAGTGTAAGTATGAATAGAGCTGTGAATCATTTCTGGATGACCTTAGGAAGTTATTAGGATTTATATAAGTTCTTATTAACTTTCTATGAACGTTAAAAAAAAACAAAAAAAAAACAAAAAAAAACAAACAGAAAACATAGATGTTTATATACACATGCCCTGGGGAATGTAAAAAAGTGAAAGAACATAAAAAATGATAATGTAAATACATAAAGTGAAACAATATACCTTATCTCATTTTCCTCTTGACAGTCATGACACTGTGTAGTTTCATCACTTTCTGGTCTGGATTTAGGATGTGTTTTCTAGGAAGAAAATGAATTAAACATAAATATTCTAAAGCTTTCTTTAACAACTCCCTAAACAACTGTTGTATATTTCAGTTTGCTTCAGCTTTTCAATATCAAAGTAATCTCGCAAAATGTAGGCCAAATCTTGTCCTCTAACATACATCTGCTACTGGTATAATTTTACTATTAAAGCCTTTGCACCGTAGGCAGGTGCACAAGGGGTTGAAGCAAAAGAATCCTCTTCTCAAGATATAATAGGAGAACTGGGAAATTGGGGGAATTCCATGCTTTTAATTTCCAATTAGACAGCTATCATGCTGATAAGAAAGGATTTGCACTCTGGTGGCAGAATTCAAGAATTTGACAACATAGATTTACATTTGCATGTCACACAGTTCAGTGAAGTTCAAAAGAGATGTCTCCTGCTTTCAAATGGAGAATGGTTCTGTTCTTCCCGCCTCCTCATAGTTACAAAACGTATTATCACTATGTAAACAATTAAATGCAATATTTCTTACCTTCCAGTATATGGCTCCCAAAATAAAGCCAATAAGAAGAGACAGCAATGATGTCAGTGCTATGCTGATCCCTTGCAGGCTGGAGCTGCTAATGAAGCCAAGTGCCTCTTCTGTAATTACAGATGTTCTTATTAGTGAAGAGAGATTTATAGCAGAAAACTATCTTCAGGGCAACACTATTAGCAAGAGTACTTTTATGCACCACCTACATAACAGCATCTTAAATAGGAGAACAGATACTTTAAAGTGCTGTGTACATGAGGTGCACTTCATAGAAAATCTCACAGGAAATTTTTGACCACAAAAATGCTCCTCCCACTTCTGAAACAGCTGTGTTGAATAGTTCCAACAGTAATTCTCTTTTTCCCATTTGTAGAGAATTTCTGCTTTCCAACACTTCACAGTTTAGGGTTTATCAATTTGTAAAGACATTATTTTGTAACATAAATGAATTCTTTGGAAGAGAATATATCTGCCACTTTATACATTTGCTTAAGTTCCATCCGACACATCCCACTGACTGCAGACAGACACTTTGCCTTGTCACTAATGAACAACCAACATGAGGCCTCTTGAGGGAGGTTAATTTAACAAAATAAGCCTGACTTGACTTCTAATATCTGTCTGGAAAGGTCCCGCTGACTTCAGTAAGATCAAACCCTTGTACCTTGAAGCCTAACTGTGTGTTATTTTGTTGTAACCATTTCTTGATAGCTTTTTACATCTCATATGGAAGAGCCCCAACCCTAGTCTTTTATGTACACATGCAATTCCATTCCCCTCACAGGGATCTGTATGCATGCTGAGACTAAAATGTGGCCCTCCAGTTACTTAATCAGAGGCAGGATGTAAAAAGTCCTACAGAGTCACCCTGGGGTCCACCTTCTGAAATGCAAAGTGAGCCACAGGAAACTGCTAGTTTAGACACCATCCACCCGGTTTTAGTTAATTTCAAGATTTGGTGCCTGCAGCTCGAACGGTGGGTATATTGTCAGATTACAGGAAAAGAACCAAACTGTAAGCACTGGAAAAGTGTAGGTGATTAAGTACAGAAATGAAAATGGACTGGTAGCATTAGAAATTTTTGTAACTCATGCAAACATCTAAGCATACATGTTATGATATACTGGGTCAAACAATGTGCATTTAGTACATTATTGAACAGACCTCAAGAAAGCACTTTAGTTTGGAAAGGAGCATTCTCATAATTAACTAGCAACTCATTTTCAACTCTGAGATTTTCTGGTTGACATTTTGCTATGGTCTGGTTGATGTTTTTACACCAAATATTCTTTTTATCTCTGAAATGGATGTGCTTTCTAGAGTCATGGTAGACAGAAGTAAGAAAACAAAAAGTCTGTACCATATACTCTTATCCTACATATATCTCTATCCCATTGGCACACTAAAAGGAAACATCAGTCAAGCAGAACTGATGCTAGCTTATCATGGAAGAAATCTGTCTTCAGAGGAAAAGGGAAAGATAGCAAAGCTGTAGAGAGGTGAACATCAGCTGGTAAAGAGATGCTATTGCTCAGTCTGCCTTTGTTTGCTCAGACATTAAAACTAAGAGTGGAAATTAACTGGAGGGGCATATGTCTTCTCAAACTGTTCATCCTAGATTAAGCATAGAGGAAGTTTGTTTGCAGAACTGACCTTCAAGAAATCTGGACAAACTCAAGTGTGGTAGAGCCAGCCTGAACATCTCAAAAAAAAATTCCTGTCATTACTTTATCTGAATTGTATTCTCAGCACATTCTGAGAGGCAAATGCCTATTGCTTTTGTGTTCTAGTTAAGAAAAATGCAATGCTGATTTGTCTAATACCATTAGCCATTCTTGCCAGTAAGACCACTGAGTTATACAACTGAACGTATGTAAAATCTATGGGGATGGCTATGTTTTCTGTATTCTGCTCTGTAAACTTCAGCTAAAATGGAAAAGTGAAATAAAAATCAAAGGAAAAACTCTTCAGGTCATATAGAGGATAATTTATTTGATAACATGTTATGGTGGAGTGTATAACCTCAGAAATCCTCTGCCTACTCTGCAATGCTGGGCAGCATGTCATAGCAAGAATGTTGATTTTTACAGGAACTTCTTGAGAAATTTTCTGTATGCAGGGTGATCAGTGACAGTCAAGCATCCTCATTTTTACCATTATTTTTCATAAAATTTAGAGAGTCTCAGACAACAGAAAAGCTCCCTTTACAATGAGGTATCTAAAAGTGGAAAAATATGATTTCTGAGAAGACATCTCCAAAGCAGATGCTTTCTTCAGCATGTATGGAAAACTGAAAGGAATTAATAATTAGTGTTCCATGTGGGGACCTGCAACCCAGGGACAGAGCCTAAATAAAGTCAATTGTGACACACTCCAGCCTACCTCTTAAAAATGAAAAGAGATTTTTTTTTTCATAACTTGATAGTGTATGAATTAATTTTAAAGTTAAGTAAACCATAACTACCTTAAAAAGCAAACAACAACAGATTGTTTAATTTCACTTTCACATCCATAAAATACTCTCTTGAAAGATTTGGAGAGAATGAAATGAGTCATGGCAGGTTTCTTCATGTGCCTTTTATTTATAGTAACATCTAAAACAGAACAGTTTGTAGAATTTTCAGTCTGGAGAATCTCCCAGGGACCTGTGTTCTAATTAAGAAACAGGAGATAAGGAAAGAAAAAGCTGGCTGACAATAGGTCTTTATTCCATCCATAGGGACCTCTTCCTCTGTTAGAAACTTTAGAGCTCTACACAGAAATATTCCCACTCCTAGCAGTTGTAAAGGCAGAGTAGGAGAAGGAAGAGGAGGAACCACGTGTATCAGTAACTTTGTGAACTCCTTGGGCAACACCAGAGGAACTGCTGGCTTTGCAGATAGTAACTGAAAATAGACTCTATCCATCAAGGTGCAAAAGGGGAATGGAAGCAGGCCAGAATCTCTCAGAACTCTCACTCTGCACCCTGTGGAAGATTCCCTAAGGAAGTGAGCTCATCTGATGTTGATTTATGTGTAGTCTTCACGGACATTGGGACATTAAGCTGTGAACAAAATATATTTACATTAAAAGCCACTCAGCTACACCATGTAGTTACCGAGCTGCTATCCACCTTGAGCCATGTGTGTAGGTTTAACAACCAATTATGATTCAAAAAAACAGCTTGTTTTTTTTTGCCATATATGTCTCAAAGTAATTTTCAGTTTACTGCTCATCTCCAACACAGTTACCACAAGATCTTATCCATAAAAATGCAGAGCAGCTCTCACCTGTTCATTAGGGTTTTCCATTAACTATAAAGTTGGAACAAGAGAACAAAGGCACAGAGGCAACACCAACTGCATTAAGCCATGAGTGAACATTTTCAAACTGTTGTGCAATTACTGAATTAAACTATGGTATTCTTTGCTTAATTATAAAAGGAGACCTTCTTCCTAAAAAACAGAGATCTCTGTTTATATGCTCTTTGAGCTGTTCTGTACTGAATAATAAAGCTAAATTACTGTGAGGAAATTATAGGCAAAAATGGAAGAAAGCAATACTGAACTTTCCAGGAAAATAGAAATACTACCATGGCACTAAATGGAGTGAGAAGTGTTAGTAACAGCTAGTAAATTCAAGCTTTAATCAGAGCAACATGAGATTCATCTGATGGGAGAAAAAAAAAAAAAAAAGAGACACTTGTTCTTTACATAGGAACCATCTCATCTGAATTCCCTAGACTATGCATGATATAATAATCCAGAGAAACACCAATGAGACTAGGACTTAATCAGTTAATTTGAATTAAAATTGTCATCTAGCACAAAGAGAAGAAAACAAACCAGCCTAAATAAATTGGTGGTGGTGGTTATGGTGTTTAAGATTTTTATGGGGGAAAAGATGGAGTGGGAACATGCCACAGGCCTACTACATTGATTATTACAAGGATGAAAGTGGGATAACTGTTCTATTTTACACTTAGTTGGGGTAAGACTTTTGTTGTAGATTTAGCTAAGATTCTACTCTTTTATAGCAGTTTAATGTTACTGTTGTGTAATAACAATGAAGTCATGAAATATGACTCTTTCAATAAATGTAGCAACAACATAAAATCATGTCATTTAGCTAATTTATATCAGATACAATTTCTATGATAATTATTTCACAAATGACTTTATTAGATGATGCATTTCAGGCTTAGCAAAGTTGAATTTAGAATTAAGAGCAGTTCAAGTTATCTGACTACATAGATTTTATTAATAAATTCAAAATTCATTATTAATCTGGAGGGGTTCTTTTGCAAACAGTGAATTCTTCTAAGTGGTCTAGAAACCATTAATTTTAAGTAGCTCAATTTAAAACTGTGTAAAATTAGAGGGTCACTTAAAAAAAAAAAAAAAACACCAAAAAACACTACATTGCAGTAGTTTGTCTGGAGATGCCTTTTTCACATTTCCCCTCTTCTCCAAATGTTTTCCTTGCTGAAGTTTTAATCTAGTGATGCTGTTCTGAGAACAGTACTGAAGCCAGCCGATGAGGTCCCCTGTGCTGGGGAGCCTTCACATGGGAAATAATAAAGTTTCCTCATTGTTGTTCTTTCCAAGAAGGTAGGGATTAAGTAAAAAAGAAAATTTACTCAGCAATAAAGCTAAGACAAAATTAAAATCAGTACTGAAGACCATTTTCAGGGAATAAGACAGAGATGCCAATAACGATGCTACAGGTCCCTCCCTGCAAAAAAACTTTAAAGAAATATCTAAAGTGTAACCAGAAAGCACCCAATGTCCAATTTAATATAATTTAATCTGATTACAAGTTCAAATTGTCCCCAGCCCCTGACATGCGGTCCTCATGTCATTTCTGCATAAGGCTGTTAACTGATATCCAATTTTCCAATAAATTGCTTAAGAGAATTATAATCAATTAAAACACACCTGCACAGCATATGGCCAGCCAATCAATTTCTTTGACTTACTACATTATTTTAATTACGCTTTTTTCCTACTTGATTATCAGTTCCAGTTATAAAACAAGATTAATAATCAGCTTCTGTACTCCCCTCCACAGTACAGACACAGGTGCCACACTCCGCTGTGATGCCTGGCATCCCTCCTGTTACTGTACTGGGTCAAACTCCTTTCATCTGAACTGCTCCTGTAATCTATCTGTCTTTTGGCTCCTTGATCCATTCCCATGGCTTCAGGCTACAGCTGAATATTCTTCCTCTAGCAGCGAGAGCACAAATTATCACATGTTCAGACTTGAGAGAGAGATAGGTATGTTTTAGACCCCTCCTGGTGCCTCATAATTGGCTCTGGGCTCATCAGTTTATTTGCAGCCAGCTCTGTGACCTCTTGGGAAGGAATTTACGGCAGTGAAACTTCTCTTTTCCAGAGAGGCAGGCTGGCAGCCAGAAGTCAAAGGTGGTTTTTGTTCCAACCTTCTACTCAGAGGGTTCTGGGGAATGACAACTTAAAACCTTCTCTTAATTAGAAAGCAATCAGGAAGGGCTTCAAATCTGACAGCAGCTGTGAGCCAACTAAAAAGTAGCATGCATGGTGATAAAACCCCAGAGAATAACTAGATCACACATTCCCAAGAGAAGCAGCATGGGAAGAAACTCAGTCTTCGTAGTCTTTGTGCCACTGTCAGGAGCTACCACTATGCCCACCAGGCTACATCAAGCTGTCTCCTTACCCATGTTTTCTTAAACACAAGGAGCAGCAGCCACACACTTCTTCATCACACATATAGATAGCATGAATGCTTGTGAACTGAAAGGGGGAAGTTGTAAAAGACATACACATTGTCATCTTGATGTGTCTGGGAAACAGGAACAAGGGAAACAACAACATGATTAAGTTAATCACCATTTCGGGAGCCTCTAAGGAAAATCCTCTTTTGTTCACATGCAGAGCTCCAGAGAATATTCACCTTGTTGTACATGATGTCACTAAAAGCCCCTGAAACTTCACTGTTTCTCTTCACATTAGACTCCTAAACCCCTTCCAACCTTGTGACAAGTAATGTTGAGGCTCTTACAGCATCATTTCTGAGATCTCTTATCTGTCAGTGACCAGTCATGTAATACACTAACCAAGACAGATGAGAAACAAGGAGATGGCCATGCCAGAGAGATTACAGCTTGACAGAAGTGTAGTGACTTTGTCCTTGACCTCAACTGAAAGAAAGCACACTGTGGGCTGGCCCTACTGCAACTACAGCAAGCAAACATGGGGACTGTCTGCAGGTTTGGTGTCAAGCTTGGGATCAACAGTGCTCTCAAAATTCAATGTACAGGCAACCTCTTTGTCCACATGAGTACCCTGGGCCTGATTTAGGACAGCTATTCTGTCTGGATTAACTTCCTTTTCTGAGTGTTAAAATGAGGTGCCTGGGACAGTCAAGTTTGCTGAGGCCATATGACTAGCGAGACCTCATGACAGCCAAAACGAAGAGACCTGCCCTCTCCAAGTTATAGAGAGCTGCCACATCATTGCAATTTGAGAACATTTCTAAATTTTTATTAGATAAGTTCATTGCATTTCAGTATGACAGCTGAGAAACACATGGTACACCACCAGGCACAAGTAACTTCCCATTAATTTGCACAATTAATGACACTGTTTTCCTCTGAGCTCTCATTACAACCATCTACCGGAACAAAATGGAGACACATATATTAATTCAATCACTTGTACTTACTGTTACTGATAGTGTTACTGCCAATGCTGTCATTCCTAAGGGAGCTGGCAGCAACAGGAGGAAACAAAAATGTTTTTGTGACAGCGACTCTGGAATCTAAATAGAAAATGAGTGTGTCAGCATTATGTAACTTAAAATACAGTTCCCTCTATATATGATGGGCTATAGGACTGTTTTAAAAATCTGGCTGGTTATAAAGTGGATTAAGTTAAAAAAGGCAGTCTTATTAAGAGGCAGATGTGTCTACACTCTGAGCTGCAGCTGAATAGGTATTCTGGAAAAGCGATTGCTTTAAACATGTTCTTGGGTTATGGCACGGATCTACTTTTAGGTACTACTGGTGTAACTGTGCAACTGAATACATTGCCCTAATTGAAAAGCTAGTATCTGTCACTAGAGACAGTAAAAGGAAAAGAGAATACAAAACCTCCATTTACTGCAAGGATGAGAATGAATTACAAGAACCTGACTTGAGCTTGTTAAATTTTTTAAATGAAGTAAACATGGCCCTTTTGAGGAGGTGACTTGAGGCTGCTGCAACTTACAACTTGTACTTGCTTCCTATCTTTTCAGTAGTGCAATCTTAGGCTTCTTTACTAGACATTAAATAGAGCATTAACAGAAGGTAAGAAGAATAATGTAAAAAGGCAATCCAGGACATATTTGGGATGAAAAGAAACAGAGCAGAGTATTGTGAGGTTATTTGGATTATATTAAGGAATGATGTCACTAGGAATGATGGCATTAATTTTACTGCCAGATAGAACTCGACTTAAAACACAAATTCAAGCTTCGGTGCTGGTAGTAATTTTAACTGGCAGTAAAAAAGAGACATGGAGGTACATCATCAGATCCCTAGCATCTCTGAAATCAAAGGAAAATCACTAATTTATATCTACTTAGATTCTGTTCCCCCAAATAAGAGCCATCTTACCATTCTCTGGTGTTTCTACTGTTGAAGGCAGAATGCAGTCATTCTCATCCAACGTGTCTGCAAACTCCTTGTAGACCTCAATAGTACTGTTAAAGTGCCTAAAAAAATCTTCAGGAATGAAGCGACCTTCTTCATAAAGGTGACCATTTTCTTTCACAAAATCCTAGAGTGATATGTAGAATTCAGTTTGAAAGAAGGTTAAGCAAGATGCTCATTTCAGCACCTCAACAGATGATAGAATATCCAAAGATGACACAAAATATTTTAAATTTTTAACATGCAGAAGACAAAATCTGCTGCATACAATCTTCATAAAACATACAAGCCCTCTGATCTGAGGATTTAAAATTAGCTTTTCAAATAGAAATAAATTATTAATCCAGTTTTGTAAAATTGCCAAGGAATGAAAATCTTGCATCTTATGCTAAAGCTGAAGAGACTTTTTTTTTTTTTATTTTCCTCATTAAAAAAAGCTACCTTAATTTAACATGACTTTTCAATGTTCCACATGATCCTTTTAATATGAACACCGGAACACAACATAATCATAGCTATTGTCATAAGAGTACAGGGAACAAAATACAATAGCTGTGATACGCTACTGCATAGAAGTAGGCTGAGATCCCTGATAATGTACCTAAAAATAAGAGCAAGACTATAAACAAGGAAGCCAAATCACTCTGAGGTCTCACAGACAAGTGTGTTATGCCAGACTAAATAACAAGATTGAGGTCCATGGTAAAATCATTGATGGTTATCTTTTTTTTTCTTTTCTTTTTACCTGACTGGCTTTCATAACAACTATTTCTTATGCCAGCAGGTTGAATTTGGCCTTGGGTTACTCTGTACTGCCAAGGAGAAGGACAGTGGTAAGACCATGTGTTAAATATGTACTAAGGAAAACTTCCTAGTTTTGGCTTCAAAATTATTTTATGTTTAATGCTGAAAGTACTAGACTTAAGATCATTCTTCTCTGAGGAAATCAGTAGCTATCTGTTTCTCTGAGTTACAGGATATTTACTTCTTCATTCTATGGAACAAAATTCCTCTTCCCCAACCACATCCCAGCTGAGTTCTCTGAATCATCAGGACAAGAATAGAAAAAAAAAAAAAAAAAAAAAAAAAAAAAAAAAAAAAAAGGAGAAAATGAGATACATTAAAGATTAGACAGAATTAAGTTTGAAATGGAAGGGTAGGGAATGCTTAAATACTCTCAGCATTATAATGCCAATATATGACAAAGTTATGCCACTCTCAATGAGATTGGGTGTTTTAGTCCATTTGATTCATTCTGGATGTTAAAAGGTGAAATTACAACAGCTAAGGACTTGTCAAAAATAAATGTATGTGGAAGATGAAATCCTTACTCTTAAGAACATGATGGACTTTGCCCATTTTCTTCAGTGGGACAAAACCTTCAACTATAGAACTTATTTCTAATTACTGATAGACTGGTTAGAGCTGGGTATGGGATTAGAAGCTTAATTTTTTTTCCCCATCCTTTTCACACAAGAGAATCAGATGTCCCTTGAGTGAGACTCCTGAAATCCTTACAGCTGCTGTTGGAATTCAGAAACACATGAAAATGGGCTGATATCCTCTAGTCTTTGCTGTGTCTTTATATATAAAAGTTCATTAAACCATGGTGAAGTTTTCAAAGTGTCACACACTGTGATACATACTAACAGTATATTAATAGCTTCAACCACATCATCTTTAAATTTGCATTAGGATCACCAGCATAATGAATAATTTAAGATGGATGCACAAGAAAGATTTCTGCCAGTTTCAAACAGACCAGAATGAATTAATTATCTTAAAGATAATGGTTACATTTTTGACTACTTAAATAACTGTATACAGGTCACTGTATATACTGTAATTCCTTGTAAGACATTTTCCTTGAAACAGGAGATAATGACTAGCCAACATTAGCACAGTGTACTCAGTGCATTTCTAAACAAAGTAGGATTCCAGATGTACAGGAATAGAAATGAGAACAAATCTAATGAAGCTTTGGACATTTTTAAACTATTACCGGGTACTGTGCAACAGAAATTTCAAATAAAAATATCCAGCGTAAAACTAGAAAATCTGTATAAGATTACCTTATTTTTATCAAAAGCTAAGCATGCCATAAGATCATTAATTATCCTTGTGAGATTATTGATGATTGAATAGTTGCTTAGAACATCAGACATATCTGAAATATCTGAAAATTTCTGGAGAAGATTATGGAGACTTCTTGAAAATTCAGGCACCATCAAATGCAACCAACAGTGATTAGGCTGTAATTAGGAGATAAAAAGAAAAACAGAGAGGTTGATTAAATATCGGACTTTTGCAAAAACTGGTTAAGCAGTTCAGTGTTCAAAAGTAGATTAGACTTTTTTTTCCAATTTAAGTTATCTTGAAAGTCTAAATTAAAATCCATCTACTTTAGTGTGGCCAAATTTCTCTTCAGTCCTTTTTGTAAAATTTCCATTCTCACTGATACTGACATATTTATGGTTGTCTGTTAAATGCCATCCCTTCATTAAATTCTTAATGATTGCTAAGCATAAGTCTGTTGAGAATTTGAGCCCTTGAACATGCTACTATGAACCCTAGTCCATGCTTTCATTAACCTATTTATTTTTTTTTTTTAATAACTACTGGTTTAATGATTTTTTCAAGATTTTCTTTAAACCAATCTCAGTTTTCATTTTATTACCCTACATGACCTAGTTAACCCCAAAGATTATTGATTTAAATCTCTTCTGAGGAGGGTTTCTGTAAACGTTTTACATGAAAATCATGTGTGGTTTTATCCAGCTTTAAACTAGTTAGCTTAGCTAACTCCTTTTCTTCAGCTTTTTCACTAAATGCCATTCCTGAGAACAGTTTCTAGATCTCAAAATCTTTCTTTTCCTGAGTTTCCACTGAGAAAAGGCTTCTGCACAGTCTGTCATGTTATCTACCACATCTGTGCCACTGGAATAGCGTTCAATCCTTTCACTGACACCTATACAATTAGTTTGCAGCAGACAGTTTGTACAGCTGTTCATGTGATTGAAACCCGGCTGTTCATCTTGCTGACTCAGAGCAAGTCATTAACTTCTTTTACTTAGGTTTACATAACAGTAGTCAAGTAAATAAAAAAAAAAAAAATCAGCCCAGAAAAAAACTCTTCTCAATATGGTCAGCAAAAATGCAGGTAATGCATTAGTCACACTGCAGCACATACCTGGAAATATCTTCACAATAAATGATGAATTTTTAATGGAAATTGTTATGGGAATTTATTCCATATGTGAAGCTATTTTTTCAATTGTTGAAAACATCTCTGGATCATTAAAGCCTGACAGATATGAAGGATCTTGGCCCAGCAACCCCTAAGTACTCTCAGTATCACTAAACCAGTTACCAATTGCTGCCCAGTGGACGGGCAACATCCACTGAATCCATCCATTCCACCTTCTGCAATGCACAATAAATGTTTGGCAATGTATCTGCTTCTAGACTTCATCTCATTTTACTTGATTTCTGCAACAAACCTGCATACAGATTATTTATTCAAAAAAATTTATCCACTAATATCAATATCATCACTTTGCAACAAATTACTTTCTTGGTGACACAGTTGTTGTTCTTCCTTGATGTGTAAATGTTTTTGATGAGGTAAAATACACTTTGCACTTTCAGAGACTGACCAGACTATTAAGCTTTCAGGCTTAGAAAACCAAATGTAAATGCATTGTTCATTTCCACCTGACTTTTCACTTTTGTGTACAACTCTCTCACACACCGATAACAACTGACAAGTCAGTATTACCACCTTCTGTAATTATCTCAACGACTTAAAAAAAGAATGAAACAAAACATCTCTGTTCAAGCGGTATGTGTTGTGCCATGTCCCATTGCTCTCACAAAACAGACAATGCATTTTCCACTGCTTTTGTGTAGGAACATGGACACAGAACTTCTGTGCTTCCCTGATCTGAAAACCTGGAAACCCTTTTCCTCTGAGGTTCTGTGGTTGTGTGTTCTCCTCTGCCAGGGACTAGCAAAAGCTTGATGCTTCTCCTAGGGAGCATCTGGCAGTTCCAGCAGGGAATCTATTTTGTTGCTCCCGCGGTTTAGCATGTGCGTGGGACTCTCCTCTGACTGAACTGTTCTGACCTACAAAGCTGTATTTCATGCGAGCTTTAAGTTTTCTTTTTCAGTAATAGCAAGCTGTGCTATCACTTGCTATCTCAATACCTATCAAACACAGTGATGAAACTGCTGAAATTGAGAAATGTGACATTGTTTGCAAGGGGAAATGGAGATTTAACTCTGCTTTTTTGTGTAGACTTTGACCAAGATTTACGTTTTAGGGCAACTGCAAACCTGACTGCCCTTGTACTTCCAGGTAGTCCCCATTTACCATTTTCTTTTTATACCTATCTAAAAGTTTGACGCTTATCTCCTCTTCTGGGTTTAGCCCCTGCTGCTGTCATTTCTGCCTTTTAACCTTCAGGTTAGACTACTCAGTTCACTATGTGAAACTACTTTTAAAGCCGCTCAGATGCCTTGAACTAGTGCATAATGCAACAACCCTTCTGTTTAATGGATCAGGTCAGCCTGTTCCTGTTACATGCACTACACTGGCTTTCTATCTGCTTTGCATTCACCCTGCCTTCCTACCTTTAGTCATCTGCATTCGATACTTGCTAGCTTGGGTACCTTTCCCACTTTATGCACGCACTGAAAACTTTTGAAAAAAAAATACAGAGCACGGTTTCAACCTTTTCAGGGCTGAACAAAAGGGCATTCGCCTTATGCAAAGTCGTGGCCTTCCCAGCTTGCAGGGACCTTGCAGAAGCCAGAGCAAAACCTATTTATTCAGCCAGCCTTTGCTGTGGTATGCTTAACACAACCTGAAATCCCCAGAGAAGAATTTAGCAAAGTGGGATGTGAATGCCGCTGAATACATCCTCCTACAAAGGCATGTGGCCAAGAGCTGCACCTTCCATCACCATGACTGAAAGTGGCGTACAAGCAAAGGGAATATGGAAATCCCGGCTCTAAACTTCTCTTCTTTCTATTTATTTCTTGGCCTCTCATCGTAAATGTAAACTGGATCTAAGTTTCTGGATATGATGCAACAAGATGACATGGCATTTCAACTGCAGAAAACAGCATACTGGCAGCCAAAACTGAACTATGGAGAGAGGTAGGAGTTAAGCAGTGAGAACATCCAGGACTCATGGCTCAAGCAGGCTCCGTGGCCTTCATCCACAATGGCAATGTCCCCAGGAGCACAGCGGAGGGGACTGCCCCAATCCCAGCCCAAATCTCATCCATCAGCTGCCACGCTCATCCCAAAGGCTGGGGAGCAGCACTTGGGCTATGGCTGTCCTCCACAAAAGAGAATCTCATCACATCAGGCAAACAAATCATTGCATTTCAAAAAGCACCACAACCAGGGGATGATGGCAGCCAGTCTTACTTCCTTTTTCTCTGTATATTGGCTGTTTTCAGAAATGGGAATTTTTCCATTAGCTTTAGTTATATTATATAGGATCTAGTACCTGGCTTCCATAGCATTTGTTTTGCAGAATTTTGATGTCTAAGAAATCAAGTTTAAACCAGATTTTCTGAAGTACTTTAAGTTTTAGTAAATGCCTTGAGCTCTTAACAAAACTCATAAAAACACTGCCAGATCTGCCATAATACCTCGTAACCTCACAGCTCGGGGTCGTTTACTATCCCACATCCTCCTTTTCCTCCAGCCATCTTCTTGTTATTCAGGACTGAGAGAATATTGCTTCTGGCATTGTTCTCCAATATCAATAGGGAATATTGCAGGATAGAATGCATTTTTATATGTGTATCGCACAAGTTGGATTTGCATAATAAAACTACACACAGACACAAAAATAGTTTCTTACATCTACCAGGTAATTTCCAACTACTCATGTATGTGTACAATGATTAATTCTTAAGACAGGTACAATATTGTTCAGTTTAACTGACAAACTAGTCCTTTTCTTACTTTTTTTCCTTTCCTTAAAACAATATAGTACAATATAGCATTCAGCATAATTTCTACTTCCCCATTGTTTCCTTCTCTCCTTTTTCTTGCAGTGTATGAAACAAGCACAACAGCATTTTCAATGCATCATTCTAAAAATATTCTTATAAAATTCAGGAAAAACATAAAAAATATTTAGTAGAATAAGCAATAAGATAATATGAAAATGTTTTAATACAAATGTTATAAAATATTAAAGAAGATACATAAAGCTTATTTGAAAGTATGACTATATATTAACTATGGGATTATATAGAAAGAATGATATAAAGCATGTTTGAATAAAATAATGTCCTCACTTTCTAATGGTTTATTTAGTTACTCATGCTACCATTTGCTGAACTTAGGGTTCTCTTTATTGACTACTAAGTATTTGTTGTGCTTTAATGGCATTTCCACTGGCTTAAAAGAGAAGAACATTCTACAATGTATCCTAAAGTACAATTAGAAAGAAACTACTTTAAGAAAGCAACAATTTTCAGCTGACATGATGAAATAATACCATAGTCTGAGTTCTTCCAGATAGAACGAGAAAAATGATTCTTCATATTAAATTTTTTAAAATATTCCTGTAATTAAAAAGGTTTAAGTGACTGCAGGAATCTCTCTATACTTCTCTTAAATAAATACTTGCAAAGCATATGAAAAGTGAAATAATCATGATTTAACTGTAACTTACTAAGCCATAGAACTACGTACAAAATGTTATGGCCATCATTGGTTCCAGTGGGCTATATTATTGGGATTAACTTGAAGCGGTTGTACATACCAGACTATCCATCTTCGGGACATATTTAAGAGTTATCATATAATCATTTGGGAGATTTCCAACCTACAATAAACAGATAATAAAAATGTTATTACTGACTAAACAATGTAAGACTTAATTTCCATCATTGTATTCAACAAAATCTATCAAATATTCAACACAAATTTTCAGCAACCTACCAGGTTCAATAGCTTACATACTCAGTTTCCAGTGGAACTGCTACTGACTCTTAATTTCTCACAAATGAAGCATCTTTCCACACCCCTGTAACATTTCCAGATCCAATTTGATCATGTTCAATGCTACCACTTCCCAGCAGAATTAAAGTCAATTGTGTGGTGAGGGGAAAGTGATCTGAGCTTATTCATTACTGCAGAAACTCCACTGCATTTTCATCTTTTAATGGCATGTCTTGAAATCTTTATGTGACAATTCCTATGTAACCCCAACCACTCCAAACAGTAAAGCATCTAGTAGTCTCTAAGGCTTTTTTCTTCAAATAATTTCCAACTTCTGCAAGAATCTGAACCTAAAGAAATACTTGCATGCCTTGTGCTTAGTTACGTACCAGGTCAGAAAAACACTTGAGCACAACTTTAACTTTGAAGCTGTGCCTCTTACTAATGATAAGCAACGTAATTATATCATATCAATGTCCTGGGGCAAATGAGAGCTTCCACGCATGTAAACTGAGCACAGCTTTGCAGATGTGGGGGAGTACAGGGTGTGCTGAAGCAAGGACAATGAGTAGAAGAAGGTTTCTGACAATTATACAATGCAATCTGCCACAGATGGGATCCAACACTACTGTGAGATGTAGTTGATCATGTGGGGAATGTGCTGAGTGGGGAAATGAAGATGGAGACACTGCCACAATCCAAAATTTCTTGAAGTACTTTTTTGAAAAGGTTTACCAATACTATGATGTTTAGTGATACAGCAAATCTATTGGTTTATATCAGTGAAAGATTCAATTAGTTAAAAGACAATAAGCACATACTTAATTCCTTCTGTGAGCCAGAATCTGTACTTTGTTCAGCAAAGAATTTCTACTTCTTCAGGTTAAAGATCATTCTGTTATGGCTGCTTTTGATTCTGCTGCTATAGCAACCAGCACAAGGATTATTTTTTTTTTCTGTGCAGTGTTTAGATAGTATTTTGTTTGACACAACAGAATGTTTTATTTGTTAATTAAAATTTAGTTTCAATTAAAAATTAAAACCACCATTTCAAAATATTATGGTTCCAGAAATGATCAAGGACAATACTAACACACAGGCAGGCACTAGTGAATTACAAATATTTTTTTATTTACAACATGGGCTGAGCCACAATCTTTCAATTCAATGACATCTAGCTTTCTCCTACAGCTTTAAAAACCAAGTTTCATACAAATGAGCCTGGTAAATTTCTTTCCATAGATCAATTTTCTTTCTTTTTTATTTTTAAACTTACACATTCCTAAAGCAGCAGATGCAAAAGTGCCACTAATGTTCTCTGTATCAATTTCTACTTACCTGGCATTTTGGGGAGTTGATTCAAGGTGCTATAAATACCGAGAAATACTGCAATACTTTTGTTCTTTCTTTAGAGCATCTGATTTATTCTAAATCTTCACCATAATTTTTTGTATATTTTCCCTTCCTCTAAAAACAACCTGACATCATGACACATTAACAGGTAATCCAGTTTCTTTTCCAGCCTCCTATGCATGCCTAGAAAGGTAGGAATAGCAGCACTTCAAGCAGCAAAGATAGTGAAGATGCTACTGTATGTGCAAAGTTTCCCATACTCACTCTAGAGGGATTCAGTACTTAGCAATGTCAGCAAAAGCACCATTCTTTAAGAAAGGTCACTGGAAGATTAAATTTGTTCCAAATCAATGAACACTACAAGAATTGATATGCATTATGTATACAATCTACTTTACTGGCATCAGAGCCTGTCAAGCACTTTTCATGCACAGTTAAAAAAAAAAAAATAATTGCCCAGGAGCTCTTACAGCTTCTCAAACAAAGCTGGAGAATACAGCTTAGCCTCAGATATTTTTCTCCTTGACAGACTGTGAATCAGAAAAGATATTTTTGAATTTACTACTAAAAATGAAGATCACTAGGGGGGAGGGTGTCAAACAAAATATATGCCCTGCCTCAAGATGAAGCAACTTGTTAAAGTTTTATTGACTTAACTCCGCATGCCAGATGCTCTGCTGATGGTAAATGGTGGAGCTCAGTCCAAGCGAGGGAGTTATATTCGTGTCCCAGTTGGACCTCCCAACTTATGCACAGAAAACAGGGATAGAGGCCCTGAGGTAAGAGTGAAGGGTGTATGTTTGTACTAAATCTGTGCATTTTGTATTCTCTTGCGTTCCTGAAATGAACCTTGAAATTTTGTTGAAGACTAACCACCAAGACTATGATACAAAACCAACCACTTGATTTTTCTACTGCTGAAATGATGCAGAAAGGAACGAAAGAACTCTGCATATACCCACTCTGTGCAGAGCACCAGGCTGCTGCAGCTCCCAAGGAGGGGCAGATGACTGGAGAGCTCCAAGCTACTAGAGCAAAGGAAGATGGAAAGGGACTGTCCCTTGAAACTCCCCAAGTCCTGGAATGGCTTTTTTGGTTCCTGTACTCAACTCCTTAAGCACAGTGACAAAATTGGGGGCAACTAAACACCTGCCTGCATAATTTACCTTGGTTTAGACAAAAGTAACAGTTTTGATGATTATAGAGAATAACACCTGATAATCTTCGAAAGTAATGTATCAAACTAAAAGAACCCTGCATTGTAATTAAAAGGCCACAAAAAGTTTCTCTGATTTAGTGGCTGTGTGTGGTTGTAGAAATCCTATCAGGCTCTAAGAAGACGTGAATAACAGGGAATCTAGACTTCTGTTTTTAAATCCATATAAAACCAACATTCAGTGTTATATTCCCAGTTGTAACAAAATCTCAAACTGGGGAATGTAAGATCCTTTTTGACATACAGAGGTCTGAATATTTAATACAGCACTGTTAACACTGCATAACCCAAATATATTTTTTAATATATGCTCATGGTCACACAGACAGGGAGATGAAAAAGGGATGTTGTAAAAGTCATTTGGGTTCCATAAACTACTTTCATCACAAAGGCAAAATATGAAAGAGATGACCTATCTCTGCAGTCAAGTGCTTTGAAATGAGGGTTACTGCTCTTGGAAATTCTCTTTGTTGTGACTGTTTTGAAAATTTGAAGGAGATAAGCATAGATATTATATTTTTATACACAGGTCAAAGATAAAGTTAATAAAGTAAAAATTACCATTTACTATTGTCAGTGATTTCTTTTTTACGCTGAGGCATATGATGGGAAAACCATACTTTCCTTTTGGCTACTATTTCTACCTCCCATTTCTCTCTTTGTCATTCCCCTTTTCCTACTCTTTAATACCTCTGCATCTCCATTCTTTGCATTCTGGGCCTTTCTTTTCCTGCAGGAGCTTCCACTTTCTTTCCATCATCTCTGCAATCCACTATCTCATCTGCTAATGAAGCAGTTAAAATTCTCATCATTTAGATTAAGACAACATGCTAACGATTTCCGTTCACACTTATTCCAGCCACAGTGGCAGATTATTTGCAGGATAACAACACTGGATCATTTTTATAACCCCTCCACTCAGGAGAGTTAGATCCATTTAAAAATAGATATCAAATGTTGCAGAGAGTATAAAGTACACATGTACAGCAAAGGTGCAACGTGAAGGCAAAGTGTTTGAAACAGCATGTCTTGAACAAGCAACCTGGTCAGTAAATGCTGGCTATTGTTTGGGCTCCCAACATTCAAAAATAAAAAATTGCTTTAGAGAAGTAGATCATGGAAGAAGAGGTGAATATCTTAAGATTTTGTGAATGAATGAAACTAGAATATGTAGGTACATTCTGTAAACACTGCACAGTTCAGTGAAAATTCTACCTGTATGTAGATTTGATGTCCATATTTAACAAACATATATACAACAGATTCCTAATTCTAATGCTAAATTAGAGTCGCAATTACAGCAATGCATCTTTCTGCTGACTTGATGAACAAGTGTTCTGTATTATGAAACTGTAATTGCAGCACCTGTCAATAAAGCCTGTACCCATTGTTCTTTTCAGCACAGCAAGTAATGTGTTTCCTTCCAGAGATCTTCATTAAAAAAGAAGTAGAGGTTCAAATGATTAGTAATGCAGAATGTGTACTCCCTGAATACTTTCATCCTCTATAGGTATGAAATTATTCTCTTTTAAAGTCCTCACTATTAAAAAAAACAAGCAAAAACAAATGATTGTTCAGTTGTTCTTTGCTTCTTAAAACCATTTTACTTAGGACATATTCTTCATATGAGAAAATTATATTACAAAGATTTGAATAAATTTTATCTTACCGAAAATACAAGTAATTTTTGTATGAACAGATACCAGTCTGGCTTGGTCTTAGACTGAATAATGCTCAGAAACCTTGTTTTTCAATCTGCTCTTTCTTTCTGATTCTAGCTTCCAGTATAAATCTAGTATGATGCTTTGATAATCCAGATTAACACCACTCAAAACAAGTTACACCATACATTTTATTGCTCAACACACACAAAGTTGATCAGGCTCACATTTTCAGGCATCACACAGCATGCCTTATTCACCAATATTTTAGGCTTAGTAGAAATCCCTGGTCTATTTTCACAGAAAGGATTGACTGAGGAATGTTCTCATATTCCTAGAATGCAATACTGTTGAGCAGACCACAGCTGCAGCCATGCTCAGGGGTTTTCTACCAGTGGAATAGGGGGTTTACAGTACTTGGAACAGGAATTCCAGAACCAAGTAAATGAAGACTAGATTGTATCATGCTACAGGCAAAAGAGATTGGTAGGGAATTGTGGCACTGTTTCGCAAGCTGTAGGTGAACTGTGGCAGAAGTAGGGAAGAACAGGGCAGGAAAAAGAAAGAAGAAGGACATGGATTCATGCTGCAAAGAATTTTAGTGTGAGATAGGAAGAGGATGAGAATCTGCCTGGAGTTCAAAGAACATTCTTCCTGCAGCCATGAACAGCATTAACAGATACCATGGAAATAATGAGAAGCTAAGATAAGGCAGCAAACTCAGTATGTGTTAAGACTTCACAGGCAGTATTAGTAGTTAGTGCCTTTGAAGACAAAACCAAGAAGCTTGTCATTGATAATGAAAAAAAGGAGGAACAGCTTGAAGGAAATAAGTAGAAGATACAGGGTCAGAGCAGCAAATTAATAGACAGAAGGGTAAAATTACAGAAATCGAAGCCAGAAAAACTTTTCAGTAGACTGGATTTTTATCTACCAAGAATTTGTAAGAGAAGTGAATTTGTATAGACAGAGCTACAAAAACAGTTTTTCCTGTTATAACAGAAAAAACAAAGGAGGTTTTAAAAGTGGACTTACAAGGATCTGTGAAGTATCAAGAGCCAAAATGGACACCTTTGTTATAAACCTGAATGGCTGGGGAGAGAAGGTGATATACCTTTACAGTGAGGAGAAAAGGCCCAGGGAAAACTAGCATTCTGGGGAGATGAAGAGATTATAATCCGCCTCAGTGAAGGATTCAGGCCATGCTGAATCTAAGATGATGTCTGAGCATTTGGGATGAGTCAGGAGAAAGAGAGGCCAATATCCTAAGATAAGTGATGGGACTTGTGTACTACCGCTGAATGGCCAGTTTATTGCACACAGATACGAGACTATACTCATGACTGTGGACAAAAGGATTTAAAGAACATAACAGTGGGGTCAAGAATAAAGCCTTTAGAAACAACTGCCATACCACTCTCAGCAAATGTGATAGAGTTTCTGGATAACATCACAATAACTGTACACATAACAATAGCTTTTGTCAAATCCTCAGGGCTACAATATATTCTGAGTGTGAAAGGGGAAGACATTTATTAAAGACAGTATGTCCTACTGGCACAAACTCTTTGGATTTGTGGAGAAATAAGACTTTTAAAGGCCAATAGGATCAATAAAGAACCCAACCAGATATGTAAACTATGTCTAATTTTGAAGATGTAAATTATTAGAATATCATCCCTTAATTCAATGAGAATATTTTTTTTCAAAAAGCAGAAGTGGTACAAAAACATCGATAGTAGTTTACAAGAGTTGTGGCTTCTCCTGAACTATATTTTTAAGCAATATCATGTTGGAATCCATATTATATATGTACTAAGGATACACTCCATACAGCATTAAAACAGTGTACTTTTTAGCAAAGTAATGTAATCGGGCAGCATTCTCTGAATTTCTCCCTTCTCTTATTCACACTGTTAGCTAATGATATTTTGTTTTAAAAGTACCTTAAACCATTTTGGCTTTTTTTTTTTGTTTGTTTGTTTGTTTTTCATTTTGTTCTCAATGTCAAGTTGTCATGGTGTAGCATTTCAAAAGAGAATGACCAATTTGCAATACAGCAATTTTAATTGAAGCCAAGAGTTCTTATACTACATTTAAGATACTAAACTTATTTCCATGTTATCCTTACAATTCTCAGGAGTCTTTATAGAAATTATTTCCACATGAAAAATCTATGCAAATATCAACAGAGACAGACAAAACACGAATACAAACTTTCCTCAAAACATTCTCAGAGGCACAACTCAAAACAGACAGAATACAGGTGTCCAGGCTTTGTATTTTCTGCATCTCTGTTATCTCTCCAACCCAAAATATCTTTGAGCTTGCTAGTTAACTTCACCTAAATTTTGCATTTGGTAGAGAGATCTGAAAGGTATTGATATAAGTCAGGAAAAGGACCACACAGCATCCTTACTGAGGAGTGGCCAGACGAGCTCAGCCCTACCCGGCTCTGCTCAGGCTTGGCAGCAGCAGAAGCGCGGTGCAATCTGGACAGTTGGCATAGGTTTTCTTCCAGGACAAACAGCACATATACCAGAACAGTCACCACACAATGTCATTGCTAACCAGTCAGCAGCCCAAGCAAGAGAGGATATAAATCTGGCAAGCACTCAAAACATTGCTCAGGTAGACATCATGCCTAGGGGGCATGGGAGGGAACAAGCAACCACACTGCATGTGGAGAACTAAGAAGGGATGTGGAGGAAGATGGGGGTATGGAAACAAAGTGCTACAGGAGTATGTGCAAGAACTGCAGGTGCTGGACTAGCCTGGAGGAAGATGTAGGAACACGATACTGAAAGTCACAGTCAAATCAGAGACTAACTTAGTTTTTATGATATTAAGTTTCTTTCATAATCTATCTCAAAAGAAAAGTGTGATTGTGCAAGCTGAATGCAAATTTTTGTAATCTGTATTTATACATTCTTTAAGTCTAAATTGTACTAAAGGGCAAGTCAAAGCATTTGTTCTCAGTATACATAACTGACAAAACGTTATTGCTAACCCAGTGCTAGACAGTTTCACCAGCCCTCACAGGAGTTCTGTTATTCTGTCATGCTTTCAACAAGTTTAAATCAAAGCTTAATTCTCTTTCAAGAGTTGAAATATTATCTTGAATAAACATGCCAATACTTCAGAATTCTGCCTAAAGGGACTAATGTGAAACACTGAGCATCTGAGTAGGACTACAGAGCATCCCCAGAGATTTACAATGTGTGCCAATGTATATAATAATGCCCAAAGAAAACAAGTTAGGAACACTGCCCTGGCAGCAAATGCAAGGGACTCCAAATTAAGTGTTTGATAATATTAACACTGGTATTGCAACCGTTTTTCCATAATGAAGACATAATTTTCAGCTGAAGTCAATATGTAGATAAAGGTATGCTTGTTAAGTGTTCGGTATATATTTTTTTCTTAAAAACTTTGGTGTTAGATCCTGCACCACTTCAAGTTAGCATAATCACTGACTTCAGTGGAGTTAAATACCCACTGACTTCACACACATGCAGATGCAGTTTCTCAGGTTAACACGGTGTTCAATGAAGTAAGTTAAAACGTACTTAAATGAATTCAGTTCTTACATGAAGTTGTGAGTCCTTCAGACTTAAAACTTCTAAGTACATCAAGTAGAGAGAGAAACACGAAATGAGTGTAGCTCACTCACACCTAAAGACTGTAAGAGCTGTTCAACTGTTATTGCTTTGATTGCTATAAAGATGTCTAATATCATACTATTTTTATATATGGCATAAGTTTCCCATATACATATAAAGGGTTCTGGTTCATTTCAGCTGTGTTTGCTGCCAGTCTGCTCCATGCAAATCAGTAATGCAAAGAAAATAATCTCATCTAACCCCAGACAATGTCTGAGGAAATTAAGATTTTTGACAATTTTTAGGGAAGTTTGGAGGGAGGAAAAATCATATGTACATACACTCCAGCTTGGTCAAGGTCATCTCTTCAGTGAACTCTGAAACTATTCTCCAGTCTCTGCAATAAAGGTTTTGATTTTGATCAAGTGACAGATGTTGATGGAGTTTTAATCTGTTTTTAATATTCCCCTGGTTCTAATACAGATTTGCTAACTTTGCTTAAAAATGTGTCATTAGCCACTGATTATTGTTTAACATAATTTAAAATAAAAGCTACTTACCAATTTTGCAATGTCATTCACATCATCTGTCACTGGATTCCCGCAGGAACTTTGGGCTTTGACAAGAGGATTAAGTAGGAGTAGTTGAAGACAAAAGCAAGTGATAATCCAATTCTATTTAGTAAAAAGAAAAAAGAAACAAGAAACCTCAAGTAAGCAATCTCCAAACATGAAGTAAGAAGAGATTTTAGTAATGTTTTTCATATACGAAGTCTAGATGCAACAATACTCTTTCATGAGGACATATTTGTACCACTATAGTATAATTTTCATGGCAGGGATCCACAGAAATGCACTTAATTGATCTTTTCTGGAAGCAAGCACCTTTAGAGTAATAATGGAAAACCTGGTATTGAGCCATCAAATTACTTGCGCCAGATCCTACTTAGGTGGGTTTCTGCAAAGATTACAGAAGAGAAAGAGACAAACTGCAATATTCTTCATCAACATAAGCCTAACTAAATACTTGCCATTCACCTGATAAGATATTTGATAAACCTGTGCCTCTAATGGGATAATGGTTGATAAGGAACAAAATGATACCAGACCACAGCAAGATAAAGTTCATGATCACAGCCATTACATTTGGGTATTTAAAGCACAAGCTAAACTACACCAGGACCCTGTCCAAATACTGAGATCTCAAGCAGCAATACAATATATTTTCCCTAAGTGATGTGCCCTGGCCTCTCAGGAGCAGCAGCTCAGCTTTAACACTACATTCCCCTCCTAAATCCTATTAGGAACAGCAATGCAATGTACTCACACAGGCTTGTGAGACTCAGCCAGAAAAGCACCAGATAACTAGCTGCGATGCACCTGGGTGTCTCCTTGGCTACACTGCCTGAACTTCCTCGCCTTCTGTTGTTCCTTGTGCTTCGCTGGTTTCCCACAGAGCCCTGTGCCAAGTTTAAGCTGCAGATCTTTATCTCCAGAATGTTAAAGCACTTAAGTTATGGATAATCAAAAGTTGCCTCGGGTTGTGAAGCTTCTTGTGCCAGCTGACTGAAGCTGTCAGCAAGAGCTGATGATGATGTACATTTACTGTAAGTATGGAATTTGCCTGTGCAGGCTCCTGAGCCTCCACGAGGGCAAGACTGAGACCAGAATTTGCTTTTGTAAAAACCAAGATGCATCTCAACCCCGTCTGTTCCTTTTGACAGATAGAGAGCTCTTGTCTCCAGCCTTGTCTTCAAATGCTATCCAACCTTTCAATTTAAGACCAAAGCAAATCGAATAACATAGACAAAGCTCTCTGGGAGAGCAAAGAGAAAAATCACAGATATAAAAGATGAAGTATCATTATAGTAACCTAGAGGGGCTAAGAAAGCACCATGATAAAGATTGCTCAGGAGCTACGTAAACATGATGCATAGTGCCAGGCACTTTACCTAGAGCTGTTAAATCACAAGTAAATCTCTCTCTTATATCTCTTAAATTTTGTGTGTATCTTACATCTCAAGTAAAACTGGTCATTTGCTTTCTCAGAACAACAGCTTCCCGAGTCGTTTAGGTAAAACCAGTGTGGGTTGCTCCTGGAAAAGACAATCCAGCCTCTTCCCCCAATCTCTTGCACTGGCACTGGTAAGACGGTGTAGGTAGCTGTACCAGGCAGACAACTTCCATTTTTGTTTTCCTGTGCTATTTTTCAGGCAGACCACCTTTCTGATCCAGGGAACTGAGACAGCAGAAATGCTTTGTTAGAGATGGGACAAGCCAGGATTGCCCATTCTGGTAGACCCTGCACTTAGTTTTCCCTAAACTGTGCCTTCAGACACCACAGGATCATGATGATTAGTAGACTTACACAAAAATAAATCAAAAATATTCTAAGCAAAGTAAACATTCAGCATGCAGCAAGTCTTCTGAGAATGCCTCTTGCTTCAACATAATTAGGATTTAAAAATAACTTTAGTTTAATATTTGTACAAATAATTATTAAGAATAATTACCTATGTGAGGAATTGAGAATAAGTGCCTAACTTCAGGTACTTAACACTCTTTCTTACCAGACCTCTGTACCTTATGCTATACATAGGTCTGCAGTTATATGAACAATTCAAGCTCTGTGGAGAGGCAATGCAGATGCTGCTTGTCTCTGAAAGGATCTTTGACAGCTCCTTGCAGTGTTCAAGAGCTCAAAGTTGTTTAAGAGCTAGCTTTAAGTGGCCAGAGAAACATCTACCTCTCCTCCAAAAGCTCCAAAATCACAGAGGAAACCAAAGGGGACCTCAAGTTAACAAACCTCAAGCTAACTTTCCCACTATGATTTCTGGAACAAAATTGTTATAAGAAAGTCAACAAATGGACGGACTATACTGCTTTCAAGAATTAAAAAAAAAAAAAGTAGTTCTACCTTTAGATCTAAACAGTACACTAGTAGTTACACTCTCTGGGGTTCAGGGACATATCCCTGATGGGTGCTTTGGAGATGGAGTCCATGCCAGAAATTGCCAATTTCTTTACTAGGTTCCTTAATACTGAATAGTATGTAATGGAAAACGGGATTTGTTCACTAACTTGTTTCAGTGTCATAGGACGATGTTTAACCTGGCAGTCTAATAATCAAAAATGTAACAAAGCTCTTTAACTGGAAATACTTTTTTGCCAGAGTGACTGAGTAATATTAATAAAAGCAGCAGCACATTCCAGACAAAACCAGAACTCTGATGCATCTTGTCAATTTTCATATGTCCAGATCTAAAGACAACCCATACATGAACCTTAAAATCACTACACATTTTATAATTATGCAAATCAATAAGAACACACTTTTTCCCCTATGTAAACAATGGGATTTAAAGCATAATAATTTTTATAACTGCTATTAAAAACAAATGCTTTGTAAATTTTGAGATGATTTGAGGTTTTTCTTGCTTATTTGTTCCGTGTGCTGTCCAACAGGAACTGAAAATCTGCGAAATACTGCTAGTTTCAGCATGCCTGTTCTCCAAAATCTTTTAATTATTTGTACTTACAAAATATTTATATTACACATGCCTCCAGGCACATTGTATGCAGGGACTGCATAGATCAAAAGGGCTAAGCTATTTTTATGTTATTTACTAATGACCAAACCTGCTGTTTGTGCAAAACTTGAATAGACTGAATTAAATCAAGGACAGAACAAAAGGGAAGCTTAAACAACAGCTTTATAAACAGAGATTCCAGTTTTACACTTTACTAAGCATAAACGAAAGTTACCTGCACAGTACTCATAACAGATTTCCATACATAATTACTTTTAAGCTAAAATGGGATTTTCAAAGCTGGCCACAGGATTTAATCACACATCATCTACCAGCATTAAACTGAAGATATATGGCAGACAGGAGGAAGACCTGTATACCAATGGCCGTCTTCCTATATTTGGCTCAAAAATTATTCAATTGTTTTTATATTCTGAAATCTCTTAAATATTGAATATTTAAGTTGCTTTTGTGGAAGTGAAAAAAAAAATAGACTGGAAAGGATAATTCAAAATAAAGATTTCAATATGCACTTTTGATCATTCTGCAAATTATTATGATTATGGCTTATATCTATAATTTCAGCTAACAGCATTTTAGAGGCTTAGCTAGCGATCCAATGTGTTAAAGGCCATTCTTTCAATTGTAAATCAACAACTTTTTAATTTCTGTTCATTTATGATCTAGATTGTTGACAAAGGCTGCTGAATGAGTGCTTTAGCACCTTTTTTCACAGTATTCTATCAAATATACTCAATCATGCTGGTTAATGTTCAGCTAACTTCTTAAGTGGAAAGCAGCAAGGGGAACACCACATTGCTACATAAGCTAAACATTGGAAAGTCAGGACATTTCCAAATATCTAGTTTGTACTGATAACAACTCTAATCATAAGTAGGGAGAAATCATAAAAAAAAAAAAAAAAAAAAAAAAAAAAAAAAGACAAATAATAAAATGAAAAAAAAAAACAAAACTGACAGTAAACACAGGGAGAAGTAATAACTACAGAGATGAATGGGTTCTGCATTATAAAATTTCTTGCATTCAAATCATGTTCACCACAGAATTTTTCCACCCAGTTTCTTGAGCAAATCATCCATGTAACCACAACCAAGACATGGCTACAGTAGGGGTAGCCAACAATGTGGAAAAATATTCACCCTGGGCCAGGCTTCCCAAATTTATTTTTCACTACTTCTAATGCTGGGGTAGGAACATCTCTCAATATTTGCTTCTCAGGCAGTGTTTGTATGCTGCTTTGCAGAGGCACAGCTTGTGAACTTCTGCCATAGACAACGTTGGTTGGTCAGTCATAGATAACTAACTTAATACGTATTGTCTTAAAAAGCCTTTTGCAAGAAGATTCAGAGAAAATTAAAGTAGTAAAACAGGATCTTTCTTACCTTTTTTTTTTTTTTTTTAACCACTAAGCATCCAGAAACGTAAAAGCACAATAATTATCTCATATGTCTGCTAATCTATTTAGTTCCTTAGCTGCGATAGAGATAATTAAAGTAATGGAAGAATTGCCTTTAAAGAATTAAAAAAAAAATTACTGTCAGAGTGGAAAAAAAATCTTAAAATGAAAGAACGTTTATACAGAATGTAATCCATTTTACCTTCACACAGGCAAATGTCAGAGCTAACTAACTTCTGAATGGCTGTGCCCAAATACTGTTCAACTCCCAAAGGAGTGAGTTAGCTCTGGAAAAAAAAGCCACCCACCCATGACTACCTAGTTCTGTAAGCAGTGAAGCATTTTGGCAAGCACATTTGGAACTGGAAAAGATCCCTACACGCTCTTAGGTACTGTCGAGTTGACTTCAGTGTAGCTGGAAGAAACAGTGTGTGATCCTTGAATAACACACACAGTTGGAGCATTAAGTCGTGTATCCCCATCACTGTCCTTCACGATATTGGCACTAGACTAGCCAAATATAATAGCCTACCAGCTAGGGTGCTCACTAACAAGTGACAGACTTGAGTTAAATTTCCTCTAACCAAGTTAATTCCAACTCATGGATATCTACCTCATAATTACCACCAGAGACACTTTCCCACCTATGATGGCTTCCTAGCCAGAAGGGGCAAAATTGGGGTACACTGGCATTCCTGACCCTTCTTTTTCAGAACATCTATGCATTT